AATGACATATCTGATTAGAGACTCATATCTAAAATGTATAAAATACTCCAGTACCTCAACAAGAAAAAGATAAACAACCCAGTCACAAAATGGGCACAGGATATGAATAGACACTTCACCAAAGAAGACATTCAGATGGCAAACACACATGTGAAAAACATGTTCAAAATCCCTAGCTCTCAGAGAGATGCAAATCAAAACAATTATGAGGTGTGATCTCACCTCAGTAACAAGAGCAAAATTCAACAGAGCCACAAACAACAAAGCTGGCAAAGTTGTGGAGATCTTGGAACTCTTATTCACTGCTGGTGGTAGTGTAAAATAGCGCGGCCATTATGGAAAGCAAGGCAATCTGGTGCTTTCTCATAAAGTTGGGAATAGAAATACCATTTGACTCAGCAATTCCACTACTAGGAATATACCCTAAAGAAACAAGAGTTGCCACCCAAACAGATAGATACACACCCATGTTTATTGCTGCGTTATTCACAATACTAAAGAGATGGAAGCAACCCAAGTGCCCATCAACAAATGAATGGTTAAAAAAAATTATGGTGTATCATTCAATGGAATTTTATGCAGCACTGAAAAACAAAGAATTCATAAAATATTACAAAACATGGGTGACCCTGGAATACATTATGTTGAGTGAAGTATCTCAATCACAAAAGGACAAATACTGTATAACATCACAGTTATAGAACAGGACTGCATGGTGGTTAGAGGGAAACTAAGCAAAGAGGGGATAAATAATGAACACTGCATTGAAACAGATGAAGGAAAGAACTGTTTAAAAAGAATTTATCTTTAGTCATGATTTGTATGACATCAGTCCAGAATAAGAGGTGTATTTCAAAGTGAACTGGTGAACAGGAGAGGAGAGACAGCAATGAATGTGTGTGTGTGTGTGTGTGTGTGTATTTTAGATTTTAATCAAAATTTATAAAGAACATAGATTTCCATTCATTGTTGCACATTTTCCTCCATCCTCCTTCCTCCCACTTGATGCTTTTTTTTAAGAAAAAAATTTCTTTAGTTGTTTTACAGTCTGCCCACCCCCCCACCACTTTACTATGCAGCTCTTATTCTGGACTCTTTCTATGCAAATTATAACCTAATCATATATTCCTTTTATTCAGTTCTCTCCCTTGTCTGTTTCAAAGCTGTATATATTATTTATCCCCCCTTTTCTTAGTTTTTTCCCAACCCCCATGTCAGTCCTGTTTTATAACAGTGGCATTATATAGTATTTGTCATTTTGTGACTGAGATATTTCACTCAACATAATATCCTCCATGATTACTCATTTTGTATAATATTTCAGGAGTTGTATGTTTTTCAGTGATGCATAATATTCTATTGTGTGAATATACCACAGCTTCTCTATCCATTTGTTTGTTGATGGGCACTTGGATTGTTTCCAGCTCTTTGCTATTGTGAATAAAGCTGCAATAAACATGGGAGTGTATATATCTGCTTGGGTGGCAGTTCTGGTTTCTTTAGGGTATATTCCCAGTAGTGAAATTGCTGGGTCAAATGGTATTTCTATTTGCAACATTTTGAGAAAGCACCATACTGCCTTCCATAGTGATTGAACCATTTTGTACTTCCGCCAACAATGAACAAGGTTTCCAGTTTCTTCACAACCTTGCTAACATTCGTTATTTGCTGCTTTGTTGAATTTTGCTATTCTGACTGGGGTGAGATGATATCTCATATTTGTTTTGATTTGCTTCTCTCTTAGAGCTAGAGATTTTAAACATCTCTTCATGTGTTTGTTTGTCATCTGAGTATCTTCCTTGGTGAAGTGTCTGTTCATATCCTGTGCCCATTTCTCAATTGGGTTGTTTATCTTGTTGTGGTGCTTGAGTATTCTATAAATTCTAGATTTAAGTCCCTCATCACACATGTCGTTAACAAATATTGTTTCCCAATCTGTGGCTTCCCTTTTTACCCTGTTGGAGAGGTTTTTGAATGTACATAGGGATTTTATTCTTAGAAGGTCCCGTTCATCTGTTTTATCCTCTCTTGGTTGTAAGTTTTTCTGGATGCTTGGAAGACTGTTCATATTGTGGATTAATGCTTCTAGGGTTTTTCCAAGCTTGACTCTGATGAAGTTTATAGTTCTTGGTTTTAGACCTAGGCCCTTGAGCCACTTTGAGTTGATTTTTGTGTGTGGTGTGAGGTGTGGGTTTTGTTTGAATTTTCTGCATATGGTTTTTCAATTTTGCCAACACCATTTGTTAAAGAGGCATTTGTTTCCCCACTTAACTGATTTCATCTCCTTGTCAAAAATCAGTTGAGCATAAGTAGATGGGTTGATTTCTGGGTTCTCAATTCTATTCCATTGATCTGTGTGTCTGTCATTGGGTCAGGTC